TGATGAGTCTGATGATGATGAATATATCGTCACACTTTTAGGAGCTTATGAGTAGAATAATACTAGTATGCTTCAGATTCTTAAGTCAAGTGATAGTTCAAAAAAAATAGGTGGTTCTGTTGTAGGTCATAGATATATACACAGAGATAGAAGGCAGGGTCATGACAGATTGTTTGCAGATTATTTTGCTGCAAATCCAGTGTATTCATCTACAATATTTCGGAGACGTTTTCGAATGCGTCATCCTTTGTATCTACGCATTTTGAATGCAATCCAAGCACACAATTCATATTTTGTTCAAAAACAAGATGCAACTTATGTACTTGGATTATCTCTCCTACAAAAAATGACTTCAGCGATGAAAATATTATCATATGGTGTTGCAGCAGATGCAGTTGATGATTACATTCGTATTGGGGAAAGCACAGCAATTCAAAGTTTGCAACAATTTTGTAATTCAGTGATTGAAATTTTTGGAGAAGAATATCTGAGATCTCCGACGCCAACTGACATTGCTAGATTACTTGCTATTGGGGAAGTTCGGGGGTTTCCTGGCATGTTGGGAAGTTTAGATTGCATGCATTGGGAGTGGAAAAATTGTCCAAAGGCATGGCAAGGTCAATATGTAGGCCATCAAAAAAAGCCAACCATTATTCTTGAAGCAGTAGCATCTTATGACTTATGGATTTGGCATGCATTTTTTGGAATGCCTGGCTCACACAATGACTTGAATGTGTTGGACCGATCGCCTTTGTTTTCTGATCTTGCGCAAGGTAAAGCTCCCCCTGTCCATTACACAATTAATGGACATAGTTACGATATGGGTTATTTCCTTGCTGATGGTATATACCCTCAATGGGAAACATTGGTTCAAACAATTTCTTCTCCCTAAGGAGCAAAGAGACAACATTTTGCAATGATGCAAGAGTCTGCCAGGAAAGATGTAGGGCGGGCATTCGGAGTCTTTTAATCTCGATTCGCAATTATAAGTGGTGCTGTACGTTATTGGGATTCGAAAATGCTTGCCAACATAATGAAGAGTTGCATCATATTACATAATATGATTGTCGAAGATGAGAGGGAGGAGCACCTTGATTTCAATTATGATATTTCATCAACCAACACACCAGTGCAACTTTCTTCTACTCCTACCAATGACTTCCAATCATTTTTGTCTCGTCATTTAGGTATTAGAGATAAGGATGCATATCATGCCCTCCGTAATGATTTAGTAGAACATATGTGGCATCTTCATGGTGAACACTAAATTTACCACATCAATACATGTAATTTTGTTTATAGTTTTGGAATGGAAGATTCTCTTGTTTGTAATCTTCATTATGATGCACTATATTAACTAAGTAATTCAGAAGTTATGTGATGATGTGCTGTTGTAATATTTAATCTTTTATATTCAGAATTGTGCAGTGTTCAGTTCATGACAATTACAAATGATAATATACATAACTTAATCAGTTGCAAATGATAATTTCACATAAAATTAATATGATTTTCTTAAATTCTGTGTTGATGTGCCACAAATGATAATACCACATCCATTTATGCACATTTCATAATCATGTCTTAAATGATAATTTAATAATAATATATTAAATTACCGATATTTATGTGCATAATCATAATTTCTTCAATTACTGATGTTGAAGTGTATAATCATAATGTCTTCTTTTACTGATCTGTATAATCATAATTTAATAATAATGTCTTAAATTAGTATTCTTAATTCAAGGTCAATTCTTAAATTACTGCATATACAAATTTATACAAATTTATTGATGTGGCATTGATTTACTGATGTTGATCTTGCCATTCATTTATTACCTCACTTAAAATGCATTCAACATACAAGATTAAAAAATACATAATAAGCCATTCATTTAGTCAGTAGATAAATGCATTTCACCTACAAATCATAATGTCTTCAATTATTTATGCATACACTGCATACATTTGAACCACCTACCATTCATTTTACACACACCGCCTACCGTTCATTGAATGCATTCCATCTACCATACCTTATTTTACACACTGCATACGGTTGTTGAGTATTAATTCCCTCACCACCTACCTCAAGAATGGAGCCTCTATATCAGCTCAAATTTATATACAAACCTGCCATCAAAAAATTAACAACCTTCACTGAATACCTCTGCCCACAGATTGCCTCTAAGAACATAGTCAGTGTATTCCCTCCACCACTACCTTCAAATTTGGCTTTTAACCAAGCTTTTGGCTTTTTTAGACAAATGATTTGGGAAGTTGGTAAAAAGTGACTTTTGACTTTTTTGATTAATATTTGTTTATGATGTCAAATCATAATAAAATGACTAAACTACCCCCATTTATTTAAAATATTTATAACTTCATCTATGTAACACATTTTGACCTATGAGGGGTAAAATTGTAATTTCACCGTTGGCTAAAAACCAACTTCCCAAATGAAAAAAAAGTCAAAAAAGCCAACTTTTGACTTTTGCTACTAACCAAAAAAAGTGACTAAAAACTAAGTTGCCAAAATAAGCCTCAGTGTAGTGTAAGTGTGAATCCACAGACAGAGCAAGGGAAACCATTTGAATCAAGAAAGGCAGGAACAGAAACAAGAAGGCAACATCCAAGAGGTAGTATGTTGCATGGTGAAAGGCACGGGTCAATCGGTTGGTCAACTGGCCCTGTTTTTTTTTTTTTTTTTTTTCAGTGTGTATGCTGTATTTTTTAAGTGTGTATGTTGTATTTGTTCAATTTTATGTTTTATTTGTTCAAGTTTAACTTTCTCAAGAGCATGAAATTCATGTTTGAATCAAACTTTATGTTCAATATTTTAAAACATAAAATTGTTCAATATTTTAAAAATTAACAGAACTGTGTGTTCAATTACTGATGTTGTTCAACTTTAACTTTCTCAATATTTTAATCAAACTTTCTGTGGTACTGGCATATGATGATTTTTAGGATTATTCATACAGAACTGTAATTCATACAACATATTCACTATTGACTTTTAGGGTAATTAAAAAAACATGTAATACGAAACTAACATGTAATTAGTATGCATACTGAAATATGGTAATGTTTTTCCATTTTAATATGCATTGTAATATTAAGACTATATTCATTTGAAATTCAACAGATTTTGACATCATGCCTAGAACTAAAAGAGCGAGAGCACAAGTTGGTGAAAGTTCCAACCCTCTACGACGCGAAGAACAACGGCCTCAAATTCAGTCATATCCTACTGATGATTTTCTCAGTGAGAGTCATGCACTAGCCTTTCCAAACTTCTCTAGCCGACCGATTGTAACAGGAGGAGGGTAAATCTTCCATCTCAATATGATGCACTATTAATTAGTGAACTTGAAGCAATGGGATGGCTAAACTTAATTAATTTGCCCCACAGGGTATATCCACGGCTGGTATCTCTGTTTTATGTTCACCTAAGAGGTACTCAGGAAGAAGATGGAAATTTTACTCTTTTGTCATATGTGAAAGGAAAGGGTATACAGTTTGATACTCCTATTTTGGCAAGCATTATTGGAGTTGAGTTAGGTGATAAAAATATTCATTTTTAGACTGAGGCTGAGTTAGCTAATATCGTTGGTAATGCTACTGATGTCTATACTACTATTTGTCGGAACAGATTTACTGGGACTAGTTTACAAGCAAGACATTTAAAACCTTATCTTTGGATTCTCCACCGGTGGATTGTAGAAAATGTCACTTCAAAAAAAGGACATCATGATGCGGTCCCATATTTTAATGCCTATTTGTTATACTGTTTTGAAGTTGGTCAGAAGTTAGATTTGTGTTACATAATTATGAAAGAAATGATACTAGCAAATCAAGGTCAATTCATGGGTCGGTCATTACTGTTTGGGGCATTCTTAACAAAAATTTTCAAACATTTTAAGGTTAACCTTGTAGATGAAATGGATATCAAAATCCGTTCACCAATTAATCAGTATACAGTGACCCGTGTTCTTGCAGCCTCCAATTTAATGGGAAGTGTTAATGCTCCAGAAGATTCAGAAGATGAAGTCCCAGAAGATGATGCTCCAGAAGATCCTCATGCCAATGTGATGTCATCAACTGAACAACCTCAATATTGGACTGAGTTTTTGGCCATGGAAGAACAACGTTATAATTAACGCGTTCAATGGGAACATCAAATGGCTCATCAGGTTAATTCGTTGGGTACTCAGTTTGATATATTTGCCACTGCACAGAACTCATTAATTCAACAATTTGGTGATTTCCATGTGGACATTGATATCACGTAGATACGATTGAGCATCGCATAAATGACATATACCATCACTACTACCCTTCTGCACCACCACCACCAGATAATGACTGTTGATGTGTTTCACATTATTTATTTGTACTGTTTTGTATTTTGTTATTTTAACAACCTTTTGTTGGGTCAATTTGTTAAAGAGGACGACATTAATTAAAACCTATTCAGTTATGACCATTGGCCTATGCAGTTATTATCACTTTATATTGTAGTTTTTCATTTTAATGCCTAGTTGACAAAGGACATGATTATGTACATCCTGAAAATGCTACACAAAGGTCATTATCCAGTTATGATTCCTCTGGTACAAATCATGTTATAGTAGCCAATGACGTCACTTTAAATATCATTTTAAAGAAGACGAGGTTAATTAAAAAAAAAAAACACATTGAACTACAGGCCAAAGATCTCCTTATGCAAAAAACATGGCAACAATTAGATATTGAACTTGAAATATGGAAAAAAATACGTATCGGGGGAAATTCATAAAACTAATAAAACTAACCAATACAAGTCAGACGTAATATTTTTAAATAATAAAACCAATAGATGAAATCCACAAATACATAACCTTTCAAGGCAATCTGTTAGTTGTTCGAAATAAAATCTGTCATTGAATATCTTCATAGTACGCCCTTTGCATAGGATTTAAAATTGTCATGTCCATTGACATAATTTTATAATCTTAATTTCGTTGTTCTCTTTCATTCATCATAGATAGGAGTTTTAGTTGTTCCTCCCTATCTTCGGCCCTTCTTCGACGCTCTGCAGCCTTCTGCTCACGATCTATCGCCTTTTGTTCATCTCGCTGAATAGTTCTAGCGGAGATAGTTGATAACACTTCAACAATTTTGGATTGGTTAGCAGCCATTTCATCAAATCTACTATCGTGCGTTGTTTGATTCTTCAACTTCTCTTTCGCTGCCTTCGTTCCAATTGGTCGTGTTGATGTATTAGATGGTTGTTCGTGCATCGCATTATTCTGGTTGGATTGAGAAACCTCATATTCACTTGGTGGATTCGAACATGGATCAGAATGTTGCGTGCTTCTTTTTGATAGAAATTCATCCCATTTACAACTTTGGCGCAAAATCTTCCAACATGTATCAAATGTGAAGTGCTTTTTCTGTATTGCATGATACATCCGCTTCGCTTCAGTGACCTACAAAAAAAAATTACAAAGATTTCAATAACAAGTATACATTTAAAAAAGAAAATTAATATTTAATAACACAAATAAATTTTACCATATCTGCCTCAGTTGTTCCACTTTGTTGCCTCAGTTGAATTTGTTCAAGAAAACTACAGAATTTATTAATTGCCTTTTGCATGGCAGACCAACGGTGAGTCAAAGAAATACGATTTCGATTTGATTCACTACTCAATTGTGAATTAAAATAAACAAGTACTCATTCCCAAAATATAGCCATAGTCTGACTATTACCAGTAATGGGATCTTGAGAGACTGCTAACCAAGATCTACATAAAGTTTCATCTTCTATAATTGTGAATGCTTTACCACGAGAAACACAAGAAGTTTCTGAAATAAAATGATTATCACTGTTTTGCGTGTTTTGTTCTCGTGAAGATTCCGACATAAAATTAATATGAGTGTTGTGCTCAAACATTTGTGATTCCTCAAACATTTCGAAATCTTCCATAGTTTAGAAAAAATACAATACACTTACTGAAAAATATTGTAATGATATAAAGCTGAAACTCAGAATCAGATAATTTAATCAGATAATATTAATTAAAATTTCAAGGGAAACAAATATCTAATGACACAAAAGAAAAAAAATTCACAACATATAAATGCTATTCTGAAAATGAAATACTTTGTCAGTTTGATATAGAAATCAGATCTATTTTATAAAGCACATCATCAATGGTAAATTTTCAAAATACTCTGTCCATCCAACGGTAAATTATTGTAACAGCTAGTTGTGAAATATGTATGTCAAATATATAGGGAATTTAAATTTATATCACCCTTCAAATTATTTATAATCCACAAATTAACCTATGTCCAAATAAACTAGCTCAAACAAGTTGAAACCAACCAGTTCAAACCTGTTCTTGCTAGTTGTGCACTGTAGCCGAATTGCCCAACCCGATCGACCGGTTGGTCAACCGGCCGGTCAACCGGCTGACCGGTTGCTCTCCAACGATCACGCGAGGCAGCAGTTCAAACCAACCAGTTCAAACCAACCAGTTGAGGATTCAAATGAACCAGTGGCTTAAATGGTGCAGTGGTCGTCCGGTTGGTCAACCGGCTGGGGAATTGGCTGGTTGACCGGTTCCTCCCTCCAATGGTCACACACAGTGTTTTGGTGAAATCTGTATGTTGTCCTCAATTTGATGAATTGTTTGGTGAAATATCAATTTGATATCGATTTGGTGCAACCATTGGAGCACCAAACAGTAACTTTTTCATCAGAATTTAAATTTGATGTCAACTTTGATGAACCGTTGGAGATGGTCTTAGAAAACAAAAATTGATCCTATTTATTGTGATTTCTCATAAATCAAGAAAATCAATTTGAGAAGTATTTATTGATTTTTCAACTAAAATTGGGCTTGTTTGTGTAATTTATTATAAGTTTAAGATTGATAATAAAAAAATAAAAGTCAAAAGCACTTCTCCTCCAATTTTTAAATAAACTATTTTTTAAAAAAACTTATTTAAACTATTTTTACTTAAACTATTAAAAAAAAAACTATACCGAATAATTTACTGTGAATTCTCAGATTAAAATAAATTATAATGTTCTCATTTATCTATATCTATCTATATATTATATAAGTAAAAGGGGATTTTTAATGAGAAATGTTATGAGAGTTTCAATATTTCATACTAATTTTCTTGATTTTTTTTAAAAAAAATTCAACAATTAAAAAATTCCTCATTGGCTAGTTTCTATTTAACTTTTATTTTATAAATCCACATCGGGAAAAGAAAGAAAAAGTTAATTGTTTCACTTACATAAAGTGAATTTTATACTCCATTGAATTGTTTCACTTACATAAATGAAACTTATACTATAATTTAATATTATAATATTGTGTATGCTTTAGTTTAAGACAGTTTAAATTTTAATAAAATAATATTTAAAATTTTTAATTAATTAATTATTGTGTAAATTAGTTGATCTTTCAACCTAGCTGATTAAGTTGAACTGTTTCCGATTTGAATGATTCGCTAGTTTAATCGTGATTTTAGTAGTTTTATCAAAATAAAATGATTATATTTGTTTGATTCGAAATAAATTAAAGATTGACCGAATTAAAAATTGAATGACTGAAATTGCTTGATTAGAAATAAGTTTTCCGCCTAAATAATTGTTAACTTTCATTTACAATCCCATGTCGAAAAAAGAAGGAAAAAATGAATTGTTTCACTATATAAACCTTATGCTGACATTTAATATTGTAGTGTTGTGCATGTTTCAGTTCAAGACAGTTTAAATATTGAAATCAAAATAAAATTTTTAATTTTTAATTAATTAATTTTTGTATAAGTTGGTTAAGATTTGTTTGATTCGAAATAAACTAAAAATTGACCTAATTAAAGATTAAACGGTTGAGATTGCTTGATTCGAAACAGATTTCTCACTCAAACAATTATTAACTTTTATTTTACACAATCTCACGTCGGGAAAAGAATGAAGAAATGAGTTATTTCACTTATATAAAGTGAATTTTATACTCCTATTTAATATTGTAATATTGTGTATATTTCAGTTGAAGATAGTTTAAATTTTAAAATCAAATAAAATTTAAAAGTTTTAATTAATTAATTTTTGTGTAAGTTGGTTGATTTTTTGATGAATTTTATTAAAACTATATATATTGTTTTATTTCTAAAATATATGTTTAAATTTTATGACAAATTTTAATATAGAATAAACTAAAATTAAAAAGTTTATAAAACAAAATGTATTTTCATTTTATCATAAATATAGTTTTTTAAATTTATTCTATTTTTTTTTTCATCTTTATCAATTAAATTATGACATTTATTTTTTATTACAAATTTAAAATATACAATTAATAACATAACAATTACAATATATATTCTAATAAAATAATTAAAATTTAATTTATTTTTTTATACTTTTAAATAAATTTTATATTAAAATTATTTTTAATTATTTATTTGGCCCGTGGGTAACATGGTTCTTATGTTAGTTTCAATTATAACGAACAACCCATTGCTACTAGCGCAATCTAATTGTAATTGACAACAGAAAAATGCTTGGGAGCACTAAACATTAGCGGTCAAAATGCCGCGTGTGCGGTCAACACGCTTTCCAATATAATATACCGTTGTACTAGTAAAGTTCAAATGGTCAAACATTTGCATTAATGACATACTTACCCTCCGTCTGGACCATATGGCAAAAATAATAATAACAGAGCTATGATAGAGATCCCCTCCAATCACCATCTCCACAACCCCACATACACGTAGTGGGTGGTGATTGGAGGAATAAGAAAAAAATAAAAAGAAAATGTAACGCTACTAGCGCAATCTAATTGTAATTGACAACATTAGCGGTCAAAATGCCGCGTGTGCGGTCAACACGCTTTCCAATATAATATACCGTTGTACTAGTAAAGTTCAAATGGTCAAACATTTGCATTAATGATATACTTACCCTCCGTCTGGACCATATGGCAAAAATAATAATAACAGAGCCATGATAGAGATCCCCTCCAATCACCATCTCCACAACCCCACATACACGTAGTGGGTGGTGATTGGAGGAATAAGAAAAAAATAAAAATAAAATGTAACCAATGAGAGAGAGAGGGGATAATAATAATAATAATAATAATAATAATAATTGTGCTATTTTATTTAGATAAAAAAAAATAATTTTATTTTATTATTGATGGGCATAGTCCGAGAAGGCCTAACCCATGGCTACCCTAGGTTGTCTAGATAATTACTTAGTTATCATTATAAAACCTAGCAAATAAGGCCCAACAGGAAACCTAACAGAGAATAGAGAATTCATAGTAGTTCAAACTTAGTCACAACTAGACATGTGTTGAGTAGAGAATTAGCCACCTGATAAATAAAGATTTTGCAGAATTATTAAGCCCACGCACTAAGCATCAAATGAGATTGTCAAAGTATTAAATGCAACAAGACTTCTCGTTCTGGGACGTGATGAAACAACCATGGCCAACGACAAATAGGTTGCAGGCTTTTGGCCAATGGGACAGTATGAATGGACAAGAAAATGATTAGTAAGAGATATAAGGAAGCTTATGAGGAACGTTTTGGCAACAAGTAATTCACTCTCTCTCTCTCTTTCTCTACTCTTAACCTTCTCTCTAAAAACTATTATTCTGACCACATCTTCATCTAATTTGATTGTTGGAACCATTTCCATTTCAGAACCTTTCTACTGGACTTGTTGCAGGTGTAATTAGGAAGATGAAGGGTAGCCATCCCGTGGAGCGTTTTGATCAATCCGACCTATATCTTGCCTAGGGCTAGCCTTGAGGTAAGGCGACTAAGAAGGTTGTCTCGGGCTCCCAATTTTGAACAAAATTTAGGGGCTCCAACTAGGGAAGTGTATTATGTCGTGTTATTTCATAATTACTTCAATATTAGCTCAATTTATTTATTTTCATGTTGTTGTATGGTGTTATTTTGATTCGTGTCCGATTAATGTTTACTGTGAAAACTTTCACTTTTAGTTAAAAATAACTTAACAAGTGTATGGAGAGATTAAAATTTTTCCCATAAGTTGAATTTTATAAAATTTATTTCTACTAAATAAAATTATTCATAGACTGTTTGATTTTAATTCAATTGCATTTTTCTAATTAAAAAAATTGTACCTTATTACTATATACCTATTTTTTACTAGGTTGACTCTAAAATAGGTAACAAAAAAAAAACATATCTTAAATGAAAAAAAGATATTAGTCTTAATTATTATTTTACATACTTATTTATTCAGTTAAATGGAATTAAATAAAAGATTAAAAAAATGTCATGGTATCCCTTAGTGAACAAACTAATAATTCATGTTATTGAGTCGTGTCATACTTGGATTCATGTTGAAAAATAGTCAACCCTCACTTGCTAAACTTATATATTGCTTGAGTTGTGTTGAAAATTCTTATCCTTATCCCCAATTAATTTTAGTTATTATAGTATTGGTAAGCTAAAAAATAAAAATTCGATTCAACTAATTGAAGTTAAAATATTATATATATATATATATATTTGTTATCTAAATTTTGTTAAATTGTAATGCAATAGAAATAAATTTTTATCCTTTTTGTTTTATCCAAACAATTATTTATTTATTTATGTATTTATTTATTTATTTATTTATTTTGGATAATGATATATGAAGGGCCCAATTTAAAAAATTCGTCTTAGGCTCCTAATAATTCAGGGTCGGCCCTGATCATGTTGACCAGACTGCATTATCAATTACCATTATATTTGGATGAATAAGAAAGTAAAGCATATAAAAGAGATATAAGTGAAATTTATTTTTCTTCCTTTTATATTTTAAAGGATAATTTTGATATTATAAATATTTTATAATCAGTTAATTTATTTTTCACCAAATCTTATCATTTTTTGTGAAAAGTGAAAAAGGCTTAATAAGAAAGTGTTATTTTTTTTCATCATTTCTCCCCATTTATCATTCAACTTACAATTCAAACATAAGAAATTTTTTTCTTTCTCATAATTTTTTTTAGTCATTTTTCATCAAATCACTTCATTTAAAAGGACTGATGTATTTTGCCTAATTTACATAATCATACAAAAAAATATACAAAGAATGACATGGTAGAATTTTAAATCAATCATTACAATCATTGGAAAATAAAGAGTCCTCAAAAATATATTAATTACAATCATCTATGGCATTTTCTTTATATTCTTGTTGTTTCATTGACACTTTGACAAAACGACGGGAGCAGTTCTCCAACCCCACCTATATTATATTTATAAATAAACTATATTATATTTATAAATAAATAAATAAATATTGGATTAATTAAATTAATTTAATATTCGCATATCCTTTATAGGTTACCTTTCTCTGCTACCAGCCGCCCAAGCATACTACAAGAAGTTCTTTATATTATATGTGGCTACATGCCATATTAATAGTAGGTACACCCTATTATAAGTTGTTTTCATGTTTTTATATTTTTAGTGCTTTTTTTTATATTTTAATTTTATATTTTAAATTTTTAAAATATATCTAATTTAAATGTACTTAAAATAAAAAAAATGTATGAAGAAATCTAAACGAATTTTCACTAAAGACAAAGACATGAAAATGTACTAATTTATATATTTTTTTGGTATTTTTTTTTTCAATTTTCTTCACAAGTATTTTATTTTTTAAGTGCATTTAAATTAAGTGAATTTAATTTTTTTTTAAATTTAACTAAAATATGAAAAAAAATTCAGAAAAGACAAAAAATACAGGAAAAACAAGAGAGTTAAAAACTGAATTTGAGTTTAAAAACCAAAAATGCATGTGCTCTTATAATATTAGAGTGACATTTTTTTTAGGTGCAATTTATTTTAGGTAAAAAGTTGATAGATTATAATCCGAATCTAAATGCACCTGTTCTCCAATTTCATGATAATTAATTTTTTTTAACAAACAACTTAAGTAATTTTTTATTCATAAAAATAATAATAAAAAATTTAAAAATTGTTGAGAAATCCATTTGTAAGGGATATATGGCACTAGGTCCGCATATTGTTTCATTTTAATTGTAATGACATGATTAATGAAATTATTTGGTGAAAAATACAAATTATTGTTTTGAAAAATTATTATTTTTATTTTCTTTTACCCACTGCTGCCGAACTACTAGTCACCGGTAAAGATACTGTAGGTGGCTGCGGTCGACAGTTGGTTCTAGTGGTGATATGAACATATAAGTAGAATATGTAGACATATAAGAAACACATGGACAAATATGTGACACTAGATAAGCAAGTGAACATATAGGGAGATATATAAGTGACACTAGACAAATAGGCGAATAGTTGACAGATAGACAGATAAGTAGGGATAATGCAATAATTATTATTCTTATAGTTCGAGAAGATTATAGATGAAAATTTTAAAATTAAATTTATAACTCGAATTCCTTAAAAAATTGTACCAAAAAAAAGAGAAGAGAAAATTAGTTTACCATCCCTCTCCAATTTTACTAATTATATAAGTCCACAATATTTCTTTTGTAGTCTAAGGTCCCTCACTCCCATACCCTTATATCACACTTACACTCTCATTCTCTCTCTACTCTCCTCTGTTTCTACTCTCTCCTCTCTCTCTAGGGTTTCGATTGCGTGAGAGAGAATGAGAAGACAATGAGGACAATTATTGCTCCAATGAAGATTCCGATCACTGCAAGTTCCAGTTCCAGTTCCAATTCCAATTCCAATTCCAATCCCAATACCAATTTGAATAGTAGAGATAAAAGCTCTAAACTCACCAAAAAGAACTTCGATTTTGAGGATATCCTAAAGAATGAGTATGTTCGAATCAAGTCCTACACTGATCAAACACTTGTCCTACAAGATTAGAAGAAAGTCCAACAATCTATCAAGGAAGGTATATCTGAAGAATCCCTTTATCTACTCATGTCTATGGCTTGTCATTTGCTGAACCCTGGCTGACCATTATCCCAATTCCATTCTCCCTTCCTAAGCAAAGCTCTAATCAACTAATCCCATAAGGAAGGTACCTAGAATTCAACTTAGTTGCCTAGTAAATTTCCTGTAAGTAATTTCTATTGTTTATTTTTCTTGTAAAAAATTGAATAAGTTTTCTATTGATGTAATATTTACAGTGAATCCTCTCTTCGAACAATTATCTATGTCTCCTCTCATGCCCAGTTAGGGAAATGATTGTAAACAATTTTCACTAACTTGAGATTGTGAAGAATTTTCTTTGGTTTAAAATTGTGAACAAACACAGAGAAATTTCTTTGGTTTGATTAAAATTTCTCTAATTTGGTTAAAACAATTTCTCTGGTTTAAAATTGTGAACAAATACAGAGAAATTTATGAACAAAGCCATAGAAATTCTCTGCGAACAAAGAAAGCTAGATAAATTTCAATTTTCTCTAGATTTCTCTGGTTTGAGTTTAGAGAAATTTCAATTTTCTCTGGTTTAAACCCAGAGAAATTTTTTGGGAAGTTCAAAATTTTTTTAGACAGAATTTCTCTAAAAAGTCTAAAGAGAATTTATTTGGGATCAAAATTTCTCTGGATCGATAAAGGATTTTAGACATTATGAAAATATTTCTTTATGTTATAAAATCTTAATATTAAAAATTCTAAAAAAATTTTAAAAAAAAATAAAATTACGCCAAACATGTAACCCTAAATAATTTTTTGGGGGGCCAAAGCCATGGACCCATAGTCCATGAAAATTTCACGGAACATTGAATGCACAATGAATTAAAATCTCATTACACTAATCCAATCTAAAAATAGATAGAGTGAGGTCCAAAAAAAGGCTACAGAGGGTCCAACCTAACCACCAAGAAAAGTTGTATGGAAAGGGTCTCAAGTCTCTTTTTCTAGCTCTAGCTGGCTTTTGTGATAAGACACATATTTCCACAATTCACACTTTACAAAATCTATCTTTTATATGAAGGAGCTTGTGTGTATATATAAAAATAAATATATATATATATATATAGGAGGAATGAG